ACTTTTTATACAATTCTGTCTGTGTTATGTCTTTATTATACATTTTAACAATCAAACAGACTTTATAAGATTCTTTTTTGACAGAAGGTGTTTTCGTGTCCCTGACACTTGGACACATTTCTTCACAAAGGTAATCCAAATGTTGAGATATGTGCCGACTGTGTATATTTCTAACCCAGGCTGAGAACCACAGCCTCAAAACGGACTCCTCCAAAACCACTCCTATATTGTCCAAATCAGCCAAACCGTTACTGAAATATTATTAATATACAGCTGATTATTAATGCCAATTATGCTAATTACCCAACATATGCAAGTTATCACCCGTCAGTTTCTAAGTGCTGAGGACCCAGACTCAACATTTCTAACATTAATCTCTTTCTGGACTCACGCTGCTGCGAAGTAAACTGTGAGTTAATCAGAGGACCTTGACCTCCCCAATGTTTCTATATCTCCGAGTAAAACAGCCACTGAAACGAGCCAGCACCGAACATTTAAATTCAGTCTGATTATCAGGCAGCTATTGATCCACGGAGCCGATATCCATCCATATATTCATCCATATATTCATCCATCCATCGCTCCAGTTTTGTATCAGGCCTCCTCTTCGTCTCTCTCACTTTTATTACCTTCCTCTTCTCCTCTTTCTTGCCTGTATCTCCTCCCTCCTCCTCCTCCTCCTCCGTGCAGTAATAAGAGCGGAGAGGTCAGTCAGTCGACCCTCCGAGGCCGACCAGCCAACTTTAAATATTTCACACTATTTTAAATGAGCGCACATGAATCATAGATCACAGGCAGCGCTCGTGTGTGTGTGTGTGTGTGTGTGAGAGAGAGAGAGGAGGTGAACCTGAAGCTCCTCCTAATAACCTCTGGCTGTCCGTCTCAGTGAGGAGGTCTGATGTGGAATTTAGATCCGACAGCGTCAGTCGTCCACCGGAGGCGTAACGAGCCGCCTTTCATCATCGGCCGTGATGGACGGGTGATGAAACAAAGCGGTCGAGATGAAAACTCACCGGTTTCTTCATCCTGGCGTTTCACGGGCGGGGGGGGGGGGGGGGGATCTCCCTAATTCCCAACATGCACCAGAAGTCAAAACATCACAAAAATCTGTACAAGTATTTTGGAGACACGCCGTCGCTACTGGAGACACGATGTGACGTTTAAGTTCCTGAAGAAAGAATCAGTCCTGTAATGTTCCTACAGGGAGTCCGACTGACTGTCTGCAGCTTTAAAGAGAATTTATATTGAATTGATCATATTTATCTACGACCGGCGCTCCTTCTCTCTGTTTCATTGGAGTCTTTTACAGGCTGTAGAGTCTCAGAGTAGATATCTGTAGAGCTGCACCATGATTAACAGGATAAGAAAGAGGAAAGATATATATTTATTGTACACAAACAGATGGTTTTCTTTTCTCTAATCTTTGTTTTTACACATAAGAAACACTGAACTATATTTCAAATGAAACAAGTTCTGCTTTAACCACAACCTGTGACGAGGCTTTGCAGGTAGATTGTTAAATGGAGTTTGGTCTGTTAAGTTAACACTGATGTAGTTCGTAGAAGCTCTCTGCTTTAGGAAGCAGATGTGATTGTCCATGAGCTGGTTAGTATTAAATTGCTCTGTTTTTAAATGGAGTTTGGTGCAGGAGCAGTCACACTGAAGTGAGTTCATGTGTTGAATGTTGAAAGAAGACGGAGAGACGTGGTGGATAGAACCTGTAAACGTATTCACTTTATATTGAGCTCACAAGGTGATTGTTCCAGCCAGGTGAGGCTGAGAAGGTGATGTCTCAGTTTCAGTCATATTTTTGCTCTTAAACGTGAATTTGTTTGTGTCTACATTCCCTTTAAAGTTGTGCAGCACTAACCGATATCTGCTGTTAGGTTGGAGGTACAGCAGTGTGTCGTGTAGAAGAAGCAGAAGAATGAGGCTCATGGAAAAGATAAAGATATATTAATACAGAAGACAGTAACAGTATTTAAACATTATCTTTATCTGAAGTTGTTGTTCCCACAGAGTGAAGAGTGTTTGCAGCAGAGTGGAGCTACAGAGACATCCAGAGGATCAACATGGGAACTGCAGGTGAGTTCAGATCCTTTCATCAGAGCTTGTGTTCACTGCTCAGTCAGCAGTTTGTGAGTTTAATGCCTTTTAATTTCTTGTTTTTGTGCTACAGCTCAACAGCTTCTTAAATTAGAGACACATAATGCATTTTAACTGTGTTAACCCATTAATGGGGAACAGTTTTATAATTGTATTTACTGCACAAACTGAGCTAAACACACATTTTTAATTTGTTTTTCTCAACATACTTTCTTTAGTGGTTACTAGGGTTTCTTTTTTATTGTCCAGGAAAACACCTCTAGAACAAAAAGGTTGTTTTTTAATGGTCCAGTACTCTCATCATGACCTTTAGAGACATTTTATAACGTGTTCCTATGTGAGATAAAACCAGTAACCAATAGTGACTTATGATTAAACACAGAATGAGGAAGAAAGCCACATTGTTCACGGGATTGTCAGCGTGTATGTTTGGATTAAAGTGCTGGATTTTTAAATGGGGTTTGGTCTGCAGAGATTTAAAAGAATAACAGGGATGTAGCAGACGTCTTCCATTTCTATCCGTCTGTATCTTTATCCTCTGTTATTGATGTATGATTCATTCACTAAAGACTGAAGCTCTGTTGAATCATTGCAGCACAATATTATAAAACTCACTCACTTTCACTCAGATATCAGAATAAAACTCTCTCAGTCTGCGCGCCACGTCACCGTTATTCATCCCTCTGTCACTCAAATACCCTCATACCCCCCCCGAACGCCGTGGTTCAGAACAGCTTCAGTTTCAGAGATGTCTTGTAGCCACGTGTGTTAACAGTTTCCACCTTCAACAGAGAAACGTCTGTGAGGGATTCCTGAACAGGCTCAAGTTATAGAAACTGTTTGAATGTCAATGACGATTCATCTAAAAAAGTATTGACAGATTAATCTGTATTGTTAATAATAAACTAGTTAGTGGACTTCAGTTAAAATCTCTCTGCTTTGCTCTTTTGGGCTTCTTTAAAGAACCGATCACTCTCTGATCAATACCCTTATTGTCTGTCTGTCTGTCTATGAATCAGGTGATTGATGAGTTATTGTTATTATTTATTTCTCTAAAAGCAGTTGGAGGATTGGTTTGTTTACAGCGCGCTCTTATTTTGACGTAAAGGCTTACATGAGTAGAAAGCTCTGTATGATTGCCTGTTGTTACTTTGATGTTGCCAGGCAACCAGCAGAGTAATTGCGCTCCTCTAACTCGGTCTAAAGCTACATTTCTGTTTGTGTTAAACAAACGAGGTAAAAGGTGTTAATTCATTTAATTTCAATGTGTATTATTGATCTTTGGACTGCTAGCTGTTTCCCCCTACTTCCAGTCTTTATGCTAAGCTAGGCTAACCACATCCTGATTCCAACTCTGTACTGAAAGACCCAGAAAACCTGACTTCAAATCTTTTTTATAATAATAATTATTAATTATTAAGGCAGATCTTTAGTTCACTCAGAACTCTAATGTGTGCTTTGATCCGGGGTCTGTCTGTATAATGACGTCTTATTAAATATTAAATGGTGTTTTCATTCATTTGAACATCCAGAATAACTTATAGCTTATTTAAAATAGTTATTTCACACCAATTTATAACTTTTTACCAGATAAAAGTGATTTTAAAAAATGAGTCAAACCCTCTTTCCTGCTATAAATCTCAGCGTGCTCATAGAAATACGTTTTATTATAAGTTTATGAACTAATGCTTCTCATTCTGACAGCTTTTAGGAGCCTCCTCAGCACCCATAGTTTGATCAGATTTAAAGAATGCTTAATTATAATTTATTATATATATTAATTATATATTTTAAAGTAGAAGAAGGTGGCACACAAAACAGTTAAAGTCTTAGCAGCTTCATAATTTAATAAAAGATCTCTGCAGACGTGTTTTTGGTTGCTGACTGGTGCTCGTATATACACTCATATAATAACTTTAAAGATGTAATCTGATACATTTTTAACAGGTAATTAGTAACTAAGTATTGTACTGTTTACAGCTGGTATTAACCTGCGTCTCAGGTGATCTGATCACAAGTAGACAGATTTAAATACAGTGTAAACGACCTCCTGTGATCCACTTCAGAAACCTGCTGTCTGTGTAGTTCACTGATATAAATCACCTGTTTGAGAGATCAGTAGCAGTCTGTGAACTAGCGCCCCCGATATTACCAGACCAGAGTTATTGAGTGAGGAGGAACTTTATAAACTTTACCTACGGACTGATTGTTCATTATTCAGGCTGCACTGTAAATTTGGCAAACGTTCCACATTATTTCTTACTAACTCTTCCCAGCGTGTTCAGTTGGTTGCAGTCTGCAGTCTCACCACCAGATGCCACTAAATCCTAAATACTGGTCCTTCTTTAAAGCAGTGGTTCCCAACCTGGGGGTCGGGGCCCTCATTAGGGGTCACGAGGCATTCTTGATTTTAAGGGGTGTAAGAAAACTTAAAAAAAACAGACACAGTTGGTTTATAGTTGAGCATGTCCTTCATTTGTGGGAAGAAAACTAAGTTAAATTGTTATTTTTTTATAGTTTTATATTATTATTTAAACCGGCTATATTCACAGAGCCTTCACTGTCTGATAAACAGCCTAAAGTATGAAGCTAAAATACCCAAAGAGCTTATTGATTTGGCAAAAAAGAAGCCTGTTAAGTTTGTATGATTATTAAAAAATAAAAATAAATACATAATACAGACAGATTGTATAGAAAGTTCCCTAAAATCAGGAAAACTCATCTCTGATCAATAATAATCTGCTTAAAATTCATCCAAATGTCCTGTTTGTACTCAGTTTATCAGCTGTTATTGTTATGGATTGAATATAATATGAAATACAAACTTCTCGATTAATGAACATTACAGCTTCAGATTCGACCACAAAGTCGAGAAAACTCTGAAGAAAACTCACTTTGTGTCTTAGGTTGTGCATCGTTTATTGTTTGTGTCACAAACAAACAGTTTACAGAGCATTGAGAGAATCTGGACCGAGACAGAAGGTCTCTCTTCCAGCAGACACACAGTGCAGGTCCACTGAAACACCAACTGCAGTCAGAGTGACACATCAGTTTTAAAAAGGCGCACGTTGGCAGCGAGCGTTATTCTTTCAGGACGGCGACTCGGGGCTCAATAACGTCTCCGAAGAGCCGTTTGAACGGAGCATCAATTATTCATCCGCTCTCATACAGTCGGTCTGTGACAGCCGCTTCACAACGCCGCCCGTCAAATCTGCTGCATCAGTGGAATCTATCTCCTCTTCGTCCTTCTGCAGCGCCGGCGGCCATTTTAAGATTCAGGAGCAAAAAACTCACAGCGGAGAGAAAGTGAAGGAAGGAATCACAAAGTCATAACGCTCAGCAGCAGCAGCTCAGAGTGGAAACACACATTCAGTTATATATTCTTTGTAAAGGTGCTTTTTTTAATGTATTAATCACTTAAAATAACAGCCTGTGAACTGATTCCTAAAACCCACGGATGCTTTCCTCTCGGTGTGACCAGCACTCTCCACCAAGTCAGAGCTAACATTACAAAGTGTTACCTAACGTAGATACCTGTACAGACGGCTTGATCAATCGACTGTCAGTGCGGACGGTTATTGTTTGTTGGAAACACTTCATTCTGTAATTTCTTTATCTTAAGGGGTTTTTGTACATTTGAGGTCTACTCATTAGCTTTTATTGGACCTTTCAACCTCACAGTCTTCCTGCAGACGGAGTTTTCTCAGTGCAACTAGTAAGTGGACATTAAGATTGTCTATTATTATTACTACAAATGTTCTAGATGTTGAATTGACCCTCCATAAGTCCCACAGCCTCAGTCAACGTCCTCCTTTCCTGTATGTACTCCTGTGTATATGCTACCGGCTAAAAGACAACCACATCTCTTCTCCTTCTGAAGATGTGACTAAATGTCTCTTATCTTTTAAGTGTGGTTGTCTTTTCAACACAGATTAGCCTGGCACGTAGCATATCTAAGTACAGAAAAGGAGGAAGTTGACCGTGGGTTGCTCAACTGTGATTGGAGCACAGAGCAGAAAGGGGGCAGGGCTTAGGACTGTTGACTCTGCTCAACATGAACAAAATTAAACTTTACTTTCTTTTTTTCCTGCACAGTAAACTCCGTCCCTCTCCGTGGTCGTTTAATCGCCGCCGGCCTGCGTTAGCATCAAACACCAGTTTATAAAGTTTTGCAGATTTAAACATCCTGTTGTGAGTTCCAGCCCACAATCTGTCATTCTCTAGTCAACAGCTCCATGATGGTTCTCCACAGTTCTGTAAACACTCCTCCTCCTCCTCCTCCTCCTCCTCCTCTTCTTCGAAGCGTGCTGAAGCTTTAAAAGGTGCAGTCCGCTGTTTCCCTTAGTCAGCAAAGAGTATTGCACAAAGTAAAGCAGGAAAAGTCCAGAGCGGCTGCCGGTCACCTGAACGCAGCGTTCATCAGGTCGCAGCAGGTTGTTGTTTCCAGCCCCCCGACGGACCCTCGAGTCCTCCAGAGTCCAGAACAGAGAGAAAATACTTTTTTTTATGTCCTTTTTCTTTCAGCTTTTCCAGAAGCTTTGAGGAATCGCGCCGTCCTCTCCCGCAGATCAAACACCAGGCAGTCATGTTTGCTCTCCATCAGCCGGAGCTGCTGCCCTGCTGCTGGGTGGAGGCTGAAACACAGAACATCAGGATATCAGGTCAGTCTCAGGATGTAAAACCATCACATCAAACTGGTGATAGTCCCATCAGTCGGCATCTAAAGCCCCGAGCTTTAACTGTCGTACATCCTGCTGGGAACGCTGCTCGATCCACCGCTCACTACAACTACATTAATCACTCTGTAAATATTCTACACTTTTATGTTCAAATGTAGGAAATTATTTTAAAACCAGTGAATCTCTATTTGTGATTTTAAGCTTGAAGAAGATGTCAGAGAGGATTAAGAGACACTAACATGTTAGTGGTTTGAGATTTGTTGATAAAAGTCAATATAAGCTTTAATAAAACCAGATTTTATCTTTGTGTATTTACTGCATTTGGATTTGTTGTTGTTTGTATGTAACCTTTTACATGTTTTCTTCTATTCCAAATGCATCTTTACTTATTTACATTTGGGTTACTTGCTGACATTGAGTACATAACGATCCTCTCACAGTGTGACTGCAGTCTGTCATCGGTTGTCTTAAGATATCTCCAAACAGCTGACACTGACTCCGCTAACGACACATTAATGTAACGCAAGAGTCAGTGATTACAGACACATCAGCACAGACCTGAGATTGGTGCATCCCCAGTAATGATCTATATCACTGATTACCAACCTTTTAAGAGTTGTAAGAAAACAAAAAGAAAATATACACAGTATTTGATTCATTTATATTAAGAAGTGTATTAAACTGTTATCCACTCTCTGGTTGTTTTCTAATGCAGGACGAGGTTGTTTAAAACACTGAATCTGTCAGAAAAGAAGCCTATTAAGTCTGTATGATTGTTACACATTATAAAAACACAATACACACAGAGAATTGTATAAAAAGTTCCTAAAAAAGGAAACCTCATCTGTGATTAATATTCCGGAAATAATCTGCTCAGAATTCATCCAAATCTCTTGTGTTCACTGTTTGTGTTCATTAGACAGTTTATCTGCTGTTTATTGTTGTTGAATATAATATGAAATATTCATAAAATATAGGTTGGAAACCTTTATGTAATGTTTATATATGATGTTTGAATTTAGCTCAGATTAAGATTCAATGTACATTTATTGTTTTACTAATATTACTATTTTTGGTGGCGACTGTAGACCTTCACCTTGTAGACAGTAGGGTAAAGGGTAAAGCCTTAATAAGTGTCACTGCTGACAGCTGTGATTACCCGACTGTTTCATGTCAAAACAGCTGCTGTGGAAAATCTACTGCTCTTTTTATTTTTGGCCTCTTTGTTTGTTTGTGTAATTATAGACTGAAATAAATTCTCTGTAAGTGGTTTTTAAAACGGACTGTAGAGATAGCAGCTGTTGACAAGGTGAATAAACAACTTCTAACTCTTACTTACTTCTTAAGTTTTAAACTGTTCTCCCGTGTGTGTGTGTGTGTGTGTGTGTGTGTGTGTGTGTGTGTGTGTGTGTGTGTGTGTGTGTGTGTGTGTGTGTACCTGTCAAGTCTCTGAAGCGTCTCTTGGCCTCGGCTCTCTCCTCAGAGTCGAAATACCAAACTGTGATGGCGTACCTGAAACACAAACACTGACGTCAGTTTTCTGTGCAGTGAAATATATATATATATATAAATATATATGTGACAGGAACACCAGCTAATTAAAGCTGAACGCTCAGGACATTTGTGGTTTTCCATTCATGGAAGAGAGAAATAGAAATAAACATTGCCTCCATTTAAGACGCTGAAATTATAAACTGTTGTTATACATTCACACCAGCAGGTGGCGCCAAATATCTGTGGATGAAGTGTTTCTGACCTCAGAGAGTTTTATAAATAGTTTATCAGCATCTTATTCAGTGTTTTTTATTACAGCAGAACAGAAACTAACTATGGAAGCTCATCTGTGCCAGTGTGACGGAAAAAAATATTGTGAAAGTCATTTTAATGAAGGAATAACAAAAGGTTTCTCATTATAAATCCTTTTTTTCCATAAGATTGGAAGAAACGAATGTCTGTAACTGATTAAATATGTTCAGATTACAATTCACTCATCATGAGTCCGATGTTCGTGTTTCCAAAGATTAAAGATGGAAACCAACTTTAAACAGCATCAGAAAACAATTATTTACTTTAATGTTTTTATAAAATCTGTCAGCTTCCAGTCAGACATGCAGATGTTTAGTTTTTTTAATGTATTTCTGGAGTTTATTTTCCTTTTTTTTTACACATTTTACACTGATATTGTTTCTTTTACTTAAATAAAATTATTATTTTTGTTTAGTTTAAAGAAGAAAATAAATGAATTAATAGTCACTTTCGGTATGAAAGGTGAGGTAACGGTTTAAAAGTCCGTTTCAGGCTGCACTTTACATCCGTATCCACAAACCAATCAGTGGATCAATAACCCCGACTGGGAGATAAAATGATTGATTGGTTACCTGGTGGAGTAGGAGGGTTGCACCTCATGTGGGTTCCTGCGGTCGGACCAGAAGAAGAGCAGCCTGTCGAACAGCGGCTTGATGTCGGCCACGTATGATTTCCCCTCGGGAAAGATCCTGAGGATGCCGCCGTGCTCCTGATCAATAAATAAACAAACAAACAAACAAACGTAAGCCGGCTGCGACGTTAAACATCACAATCTGCTCTCCCGCGACATCGTGACTCTACGCACCTTGGCGTTCCAGTTCTTGTTGAGGTAGTAGATGCAGGTGATGCAGCGCCCGTCGAAGTTCGGGTTGTCCACGTGTTTGACGTAACCGGCCCCGTTTCCTGGGTAACATGCCACCATGGCCTACACACACACACACACACACACACACAGAGAGAGGACAAGATAGGTTTGATTAGACCTTTTGAATGGACCTTTTTCACAGCAGCTGCTGGGAGGAAGCAGATTATCTGTCTCATCATGTTCTACTGATACAGCGAACACTCAAACACTTTATAAAAGTTACCTACTGCAGCTTTAACAACTAACTCAGAGTCTGAAGGCCAGCTTCCAGTTTCAGACTATTAAAAATGATTCCAAGCATTAATGTTTCCTCCCTTTTTCTTCCTCTATGATACAATAGCATGTACTTAAGACCTTAATCCAGCTCCTGATTTAGTGAGGAAGAAGAAGAGGGAAGCACTGCTGACACGGTTTCTGTTAAAAATAAAAGCTGATGTGTTAAAGGTCAGTTATGTTGACAGACATCTTCACCAACTTCCTCCTGTGTGTGTGTGTGTGTGTGTGTGTGTGTGTGGATATTTGCCAATACGTCTTGTCGATGTGTGCGTCGGGGGTGTGCGCTGTGGTTGAATGCATACGGCTTCAGCTGCACGTACACAAATTGCATACATGCATGTTCATGTTCTCGTGTGTTTGTGTGTTCTGACTCAGGCTACTTTCGGGGACGCGTTACACACTTACACAGCAGATATTTGGGGCAGAGAGTCGAGTCCCCCAGTTGGGAAAAAAGCTGAATTTGTTTGAGAAAGTTAGTTAGTTTATTTTTTCATGCAGTTGCTGGTTTGTTTCTGTCAACCTCAGACAGAAAACTTGTTGAACCGGGGGAATAAAGTGCGCTGTGAAACAATGTCTGACAGTTCTGGAGGTCTTATAATGAAAAACCTTCTGACGATATCGGCTCAGGATCACAAAGTCATTATGTCGACATACTGAGTCACAATATTAATCATAAATAAGAGATAATAATTCAGAATCCTGAGACACTTTCTCAGTCTTTTCCTCCCGATAGTAACTCCCGATACTAATATTTAAGTGGATAAAAAGGTGAAAACAGTTTCAACTTCTGAGCTTCAGCCCTGAAAACTGCAATAAAAACCTGCTGCGTGTTAAATCATGTCTTTCTTTTACAGACAGGATGGGGGGGGGGGGGTCCCTGCATCCCCTCCCCGCAGCACTGAGACCTTCTGACCCGCACAGGAAGCGGCTGATAAACCGAGAGCAGCAGACGATTCACAAACACGTCGAAGTCGACACAAACTGTGGATTTCCTTCCAGGAACAACCAGCAGATGATCCTCTGAGAGGTTATCACAGGTCAGTTCACTGACACTGATATTCTATAAAGTCTGCTCCAATAACCACTTTATTCCCTATAAATTACTTTAAAATACAGTATAAATAAAGGTTTTACCATCAGATATCACAGAGTTTTACTGTTACAGAAACTTTAACCTAGTTACAGTTTTTACAGTGCGACAAAACTGTTTCTGTTGATGGTAAAAACTTTTATTTATACAGTAAAATATGATTCAAACTCATGAACAGCACTAATATAATTTTACTGTAATAGTAGTTCTACTGTATTTATTAAAGTAAAGTTCTGGCTGTCAGTTTTTTACCCTGTGTGTGTTAAAACACACACACACGTGTTTATATTATTTTTATGAGTTGCATTAAGAGAGCCTGAATATCATTATACAACCCTGCCATGTAAAATGATAATTATCATGTACCAACATTATAACTGTCTTTTGTTTACTAGAAAGATGAATATCTACAATAAAATACACCAAAAACACGTCAACAGAGCCTCAGTGAGTCTGATTTTATTTGTGATATTAAAGAACTTAAAATATTAAAAAATGCAGCAAAATTTAAAGCACTGTATTTTATATTTAAAAGTTGTTGTTTTTTTAAAGTACAAATAAGTAAAAGTATGAGCAAATTTGACTTCATTGATAATAAACTAAATAAATATGTTTTATGACTCGTTTATGACTAGTTAAACTTTATATTTTACAATAAAACCTCAATAACAGTAAAATGATCCTGTTAAGTGGAAGAAAAAAATCCATATTTTCTGAAGGACTCAATATGAACCAATAAATCTAAAAAAGAAGATAGTCCTTCAGAGTTTATAAGATAAATATAAATAAACATTAAACAGAACAACATATCCCAACAAGGAGGATTTAGGTTCATGTTATCGAACCCTCATTAAAACAAACGTTCGTTAACAGAACCTCTTCAGACGGGTACCAACAGTCCCGATTAACCCACTGACGTCAGCGGCCACCTGACCCCGATGATTACACGCAGATCGCACGCAACCCCCCCTCACCTAAAGCTTCTATGTGACGCACGCATGTACCCGTGTAATGTTTGAACAAGGCTTTAACGGGAACACAGACGCACGTTAAAGAGACAAAACTGCACTACAGCACGACTTAACTGGCGTCACCTGCCACCATCCCCGTTCTCCGCAGGGCTTTTATTGTGAAACGCCTCTTATTGTGAAACTAAAGCACGCAGGGAGCTCTACACGCTCCATAGAGACTCACATCCTGCTCCCTGCGGCTACTATACGATCACACTGCATACAGGAAGGTGCGCATTAACCCCCATCACACACACGGGTCCCTGAACGCAGCATCAACAACAACACACCTTTAGAAACCCCGCTGACGTCAGCGTCTGTGTTTACACACCCGCTGCATGCAACCACACTGCCACCGCCCACTGTCAGTAGCTGTAAACGTGATGAGGGAGGGTTGGTGGGAGCCGGGGGGGGGAGTCGAGCCCCTGCAGCAGCGTGCGAGGGACTCCAGAGAAACGCACGTAGGTCTGGTCTCCTCGGCTGCTGATGATGACAAACCCCCAGCGCTGATAAAGAGCGGCTGACCTGCAACCAAACCACAGGCGGCCCGAGCTGAGGGGAAGCAGGCAAATCACGCAAGACTGTTTACACAGCGCGCTGGGGCTCGCACACGACCACACGCACACACACCATCATCAATAGGAGCTGCTTACAGAGTGAAAACATGCAGAGAAACACAGGAGTGCTGGGCGGAGAGGAAATGATACACCGACTCAAAACAAAAACGCCTCCGACAGCTGTTTTGAATTGGACTTTATCTTATCTTGTGGCAGTGAGGAGGGAAGGAGGGAGGGAGGGAGGAGAGAGGGATTGTGGGAGGGCGGGGAGGTCTGTGCAGAGGTTTGGCAGGTATCCAGACTGCTGACGGTTTAATGGCAGAGCTACGTGTGGAGCGTGAGGCTGCAGTCTGCCTGGATCCACTTCAGCAGCCACAACTGTTCTCATCTCGCTCACAGAGTCCATCAACACACACACACACACACACACACACACACACACACACACACACACACACACACACACACACACACACACACACACACACACACAGATCACACAACATGGAGTATCTCAGCCCAGAGTATCAGTAATTAGAGGCTGAAACTGAATGAACAAATTCATATGTTTTATTATTATTATTATTATTATTATTATTATTGATTACGTCAGAGAGAAAAACAGACAATATGATCCAGTTTGATCAAAGTCAGACAATAATAAAGTTGTTTGTTGTACAAGTAATTCATTAAATTAACAATAAATGATCATTTATTTTAAATTCTTGAGCAAACGGATTGATGGACTTTATGTTCTTTGAAAACCAAAGTATGTTTTTTGATGAACTTATAGAAACGTATTGTTGTTGTTGTTGTTGTTGTGTAAACAACAGTTGAGTTTTGGAAATGTTCTCAAATATGTGACGGCACAAAAATCACCAAAACTGAGGAAGAAAATAACTTATTATAGTTCTTAAGTCTTAAACTGATCTCCTGTGTGTGTGTGTGTGTGTGTGTGTGTGTGTGTGTGTGTGTGTGTGTGTGTGTGTGTGTGTGTGTTTTACTATTGTAACTGGGTTGACCAGTTTTCTTAAACCCCATCTGATAGCACACACAGACACATAATGTTATGGGCTTACTGTACAAATGTGAAGTCGGGGCGGGAATGCTGGGAATGTGTGTGTGTGTGTGTGTTACTGTAAATCAGTGGGTGTGTGTACGTGAGCGATCGAGCATTAGTGTGTGCTGAGGAGGAGAGAGGGAGTGAATAATTGAATCAGTGTGTACGTGAGAATGTCCTGCTGCGACTGCATGCCTTTATGAGAGTGTGTGTGTGTGTGTGTGTGTGTGTGTGTGTGTGTGTGTGTGTTTCATATCCTCTCTGAGTTCATTACAATAACAATACAATAACAATAAACCAATAAAACCTTTTTCCAAAAAGAAACTGAGACTAAAACTAAAAAGAAAAAGTGAAAAACAAACAGACGGATGAATGAAAAGCTAACGTTACATTCAGAGGAAATCTATCAATAATCAAATCACTAAAACACAACTAAATATATATTATCGATCAGAAGCCTAAGGCCTCCAGGTGTTTGCCATCAACCAGTTATTCGTTTTGTTCATAAAATGTCAGGAAACTGTTTTTTGGGACGATTATCTCGGCCAGAATAACTGCGATACACGATATTATCACGACAATCATTATAAACTGGCACTAAAATCTCTTTACAGTTAGTGTGTGAGGATGTACTGTCTGTTGTCCCATTGCTAATTCACCCCCTCTCCCTTACAAACACAAAGAATATTCAGTTTTACTGTCTGACAGAAGAAATCCTGACGTTTGAGTCCGAATTAAAAAAAACAAAACATAAAAATGCTGATTAAACAATTAAAATTGTTGAGTAAAGATTAGAACCGGAGTTAAAATGAGACTCCGGTTCTGATCGGGTTTATTCCTGCGTGTTTGTTCCAGAAGGTTTCGTACATTTTCACTACTGATCGATCGTATTGGTTTGAGCTGATCGCTTCCTTTGATCAACGCCAGCGTCTCTCTGACAGTTGGACAGTCCCACATCGACTGTTCCTGCTCTGTGACTCCAAGCTGATATATTTTATAGATATTTAATGTCACTGTAGGAATATTTGGATGAATTTTGAGCAGATTATTTCCTGTAAATTATATTTTTAGGAATTCTCTGCGTTATGTATTAATTCTACTTTTAACAATCAGAAAGACTTGATAGGCGTATTTTTTATCTTTTCATTGTTCCGTTAGTTCTTTGGTTGTTTAAAGTATAAAATCAAGAAGGCCTCGCGACCCCCTGTGAAGCTTTGGTGACCGTTAGTCGGGGTCGGGACCCTCGGGTTGGGAACCGATGTTTTACTATACTCTCATTGATCCGCTGTTTGTGCACGTTGGAAGAAGCCATCTTTGTTTCAGGTTCACACACTGCGGAAAGATCTGCACGTATTCGCTCTACACGCCATGAACACGCCTGTCTGTGTGATTTATCTACACGCCACCGCCGCAGTGGAGGACGCCCACAGGACCCGAGTGATCCAGTAAATGTCCTTCCTGTTGTAGTTTCCGAAAGCTTTGGCTCAGGGCCCAGAGGAGGGTCGCTGGACTGCCGCCAAGTGGCCGACATATTAAAATGAAAAGACAGAGAGACTCTGAACTCACACTGTCGATTCCAGCTGCAGGCCAATGCATCCAATCTGCACTGGTTCCATGTTCAGTTCTCTAGTTATTAAAGCTTCATATTCATTATGAATTAGCTGCTTATTAGCAGCATATTGACTCTTTATTAGTCATTAAAACGCACTTATTAATGCTTTATTCTGCATATTCTACAACTTTAATTAACATTAAGTAAAGATCTCGAACACCGACATTAAACAGATTTCAGACGGTAAATAAACGTCTTCCAGAGCTTGAAGTTAAATCTGTAACAATATTAAATATTAACTTTTCAATCCACATATTTGTTGATTGATTATTCAGCTGGTAGAACAAACATTATTAGGGACGTACGATGATTATCAGCCGATAACGGGAAATTTAAATGATTATAAATTAACAATTAATAGACTTTATGTTCTGTGAAAGTACCAGAAAAAGAAACTAATGAACATCTGAGGAGTCAGAGCTGTTGTTGTTGTTGTTGTTTGTTGTTGTTGTTGTTGTTGTTGTAAACAACAGTGATGTTAGATTTGTTTAGAACAGAGTCGTTAAATATTAAATTTCCATCTTCGCTCACTATATCTCTTCATTTATTATCAGCTGTGTTTATTATTCAAATACAACAGTGATCAGAATCAGGTAATTATTGATTATCGGTTATCGGCTGCGTCCCTGCACATTATCTATAAATCTGTTCCTCTGGTTTCAGACTAAATAAATAAATAAAAAACACCAGAGCTGAACCACACGGTTCAATATCATACTGATAACATCTGATTGGTGATCAATACGGAACGATCGTCTCAGCATCAGTCATTTATTGATTACAATGTGTCTGCAGAACTACAGGATATTTTATCTTCATTAAACAAACTACAGCCGACAGTTACAAGATCCTGGAAGTCTTTAATGAGGAAGTCTCAATAATCTGACTCAGTATCTCAATATCTAATCAATATCTAATCAATATCTAATCAATAATGTGAGAGTTTCTTATTATAAACACTTTCAGACTCTCACATTGGCAGGAATGAGCTTCTACAGATCGACAGATAGATAGAGTTATATTGATCATATTGATGTTTTTAATATTATTATTTTAATGTTTATTCACTTTATTGTTGTTGTTGTTTACGGATCTGTTTGTTTATTTACTTCCCCCTCTGATGCCATCTCATGTACACTGTAATCAGAAAGTAAACATCTTGTTTATGTGGACAAAGCTCCTCTAGAAAGGTTCAATATCCGGTGATCAATATAAATTATTGATTATAAACTTTTGATCCTTATTGTCAGATCATTAAAAACAAAACTGTAAACTTTATAAACGGTTCCGATCCGGATCCAGAACCCTACCTTGGACCTCTCCCGGATCGCCTTGCACCCGAGCCGGCTGGCGCACACGGAGATGAGCTTATCGATCAGGTTGAGCAGGAAGCTGATCGCCTCGCAGCCGCGCTCCGATCCGCTCACCCAGCAGATCTTATCCCCGCGGATGTTCCTCCGGTGGACGCCGGGCACGGAGCCCGCCAGCCGGCCGTCCTGCAGCGCCCCGGACCGGTGCATCTCCATCACCTGATCCAGCACGGCGTCCCCGGCCAGCTCCCCGAGGAGACCGTCCACGTAGCAGAACCCGCAGGCGAGCAGGCCCGGGACGACCCGGTCCAGAGCCAAGCGCTCCAGGTCCGAGTCCGAGACGTGGTCGATGAAAGGCATCCTGACCGCGGTGGGAGGGGGGGCACAAAGTTCTGATAGAGTGGAGTGAGGCTGTGTGACTGACAGGCGGAGAGCTGATCACTCTGATCACTCTCTGATCGATTATTGACAGCTGAGCTCTGATCGATAACAGTCTCGCTGGCTGCCTCTCTCCGGACTGACTCCCGCTGTCACCGAGCTTCCTTATGAGGAAGGACACGGGCGGCAAGAGGCCAAAATCCTAACGCACCATTTCCGGTTAGCGATTTCAAAATAAAGGCCTCACGGATGAGCCCAGTCCTCCAGTTGTTTCCTCACATTATCCGGAGTCTGAACCCCAGAAAGCTGCCAGGAACTCACCACAACCCTCGCTCTATATTGTTTATTGATCCTGTTTATTGATCCTTTATAAACATATACATATATCTCATGTTTGCTTTTATTCACTGCTTTTAGTTTTGTGCTGTATAATAAATGTAAACATTGGGGTAGAAAACATGCAGTCACCTTCAAAATCCATAAATAATTATATTAATAATAATAATAATAAGAGGAATATTAATAATAATATGTTTTTATAATTTAAAGTGAATATCTTGAGTTTTGGACTGTTGATGGAAAACATGCAAAATTTAAGAAAATTGTAATAAGTTTTAAAAAAATATTTTAATTAATTAAACAATAACTTGTCTAACTGGAAATAATTGTTATCCAACTGTCAGCATTGGAGAGGTTTTACTTTGAAGGCGGACATCCGGGTGAGGGTGAACGTGCTGGATGAGACGTTCACTGGGGGAGTTTCACTTTATCACACTTCTGTAGAAACCCACATTATTACATCACAGCTCTTAATAACCGATAACACTATTATTATAATTATACAATATATAAACAATAAATATATACATATACTATATAATATAATATATATAATATAAACAATAAATATATACATATACTATATAATATAATATATATATATATAAACAATAAATATATACATATACTATATAATATAATATATATAAACAATAAATATATACATATACTATATAATCAATGAGCTCCAGGTGAGTTAATAATCAATAAGCTGTAATCACAAACTGTACAGGCTGAGGATATTAATCAATAACTTCACTGTATCGGTATTATTGATCAGCTGTCAGCTCCGCTCTGCTACGTGCCCGCGCGCTGGGCGTGCCCGCCGCCATTGAGGACTCTGGGAGTCGCATGTAGCCCTCGCGCTCCCTCCCCCCTCCCTCCTCCCTCCCTCCTCCCTCCCCCTCCCTCCCCCCTCCGCGAGGAAGTAAACAGTTGAACGTGGAGTTGACCACGCGCCCGGAAAGGACTGAGAACAGCTGATAAGAGCTGATAGACCGCACAGGATGATAATAATAATAACAATAATAATAATAATAATAATAATAATAATGTGTGCATTAACCTTTCTGCAGTGAATCAGAGTTGAACTTTATTTTATTGATCTTTTATTTCTGCTGTTAATAACTTTTGTACTAATGTTTCCTCTTTATATTCTTTAATCTGAATAAAACTAGTCTGAATAATAATAATAATAATATAATATTATTATTATTGTTATTATAATATCTGCTGTGTTATTTGTATGAACTCCAGGTTGTACTACTGTTCCTATAGTAACATCTACACACCTCCTTATGCATACAATAATCATTATACATTTATACGTTCACGCTTCAGTTTCAAACCTGGAATTTATCTTTACTAATGTTTGTTAAAATGTGTTTTCAGGCTCTTTACCTCTGAGAACACCGGCCCCCAGTCCCCAGGGTCCCCAGGGTCCCACGTCGTTACAGCCCTGGTTCTGACTCTATGATCCTGTTCCCGCTCTCACTGAGGCTTCATGTTTGAGCCAATACAGCCGCTCAGCACATTATCATATTATAGAGGTTAAACAAATGTCTGCAAGCTTTGGGAGTCGGTTAGAACCGTATTCAGCTGCAGACAGGAGGGTCAAAGAGGGGAAACACGTTGAGTTTGAGTCTTAGTTCCAGTTTGCTGTTTAGTTTTTGTCATAAACTAACTGGAATATCTGATGTGGAAGATGTTAGTATTGTTATTGTGTGCAGGGTTTGGGTGCAGTGTAAGCACAGATACTCTCAGATAGGGGGTCAGAGGGGGGTGAGAGGGGGGTCTGTGTGGTCTGTATGTGTTTGTGGGTCCAGGACCAGGTACTGACCTTGCTGTTCCTCCCTCTGATCTTGTGGTTTCCCAGCTTCCCGTCTGCGTAGGTGATCAGTTTGTCCATCCTGGAGAGCAGGTATCCGATGTTCTCGCAGCCCGGTTCCTTCCCTTCCACCCAGACGATCTGGTCCCCGCGGATGCTGCTGGTCCGCTCCGGCCCCCTGCTGGCGAGCTCGCCGTCCCGCATCTTCCCGGCGCGGTGGAGCTCCTGGACCTCCTGCAGGATCCGGTCCCCGGTTTTGCTCCCCAGGAAGTTGTCGATGATGCACATGCCGTAGGAGCTCATGCAGGGGACGAGGTAGTGGAGCACCAACCGGTGGCTGCTGCGGTACCGCCGGTCTTTGGACCTGGGGAGGATGCTCCAGAGGTGGCGGGCGCAGGGTGGTGGTCTTTGTCCGTCTGGAACTGCCGCTTCATTCCTGGCTCCGTCTACAGCCCCATTCCTGCCTCTAGAGCCGGGTCCAATGCCGTCTGCAACCCGGACCCCACTGGAAGTTCTGGTCCCCGTCCCAACGTCTGTCCCAGCCTCGGTTTCATCTTTAACGTCTTTGGATAGAGGATTCATGTCTGCATGTGTTCCCATCAGAAGCTTTACTTGCTCCGCGCTCTGCAGGATGATTTATATGAAGCTGGAAGGCGTCCAACATCTGGAACCCAGGCGAGGTCTGCTTCCAAAATAAGAGCACATGTTGCTTTAAAAAGCAGGAACAACAATTACAAAGAATTATATCTAAAGATCAATTTATGAAGTAATATTACACGAATAAATCCTGGTGGAAAACTTCAGATTCCTTAAACACATTCAATTCTATCTTATTGACAGAGGCTTTTATTTTGAAAGTGCAGGCGGAAGTTTTGATTTGTATTATATATTGAGCAGAATTTAATAGAAGCAGTAAAAGTTGTCTTATTAGAAGTAATTATTATTGCTAATAATAAAATAAAACAGCTTCTGTTTCTTTCAGGATTTGTTTTATAATTTATTTTTTTATAAATAAAAGTAAATATTCCCTCAGAAATAAACATTAGAACAAACTCGTGCCGGAGTCCTAAAACTTCTCCCCGGTAATAATCTGTCGGTAATCATCGCCGTCTCTCCGGACATTAAATGAACCGGTGTTAATGTTAACTGCAGCCTCGCGCGCACCGAGGAAGCAGGAGAGGAGCTCGCACTGCCAGGAAGTAAATTAATTAAATATTAATGCGTTAATGACACACAATGACATTTAACATATTTATTAATATGAATTATGTTTAATAAATATCTTAAAATATATTATTATTAATATATTTCCTATTATTCATATTTACAACTTAAAAAAAAATAGAGATGAAAGTCATTCTTATGTCCTTGCAGTTGTTAAATGTACTATATAACCTATTAAAACATATTATGATGATATAATTGGCACTGCAGGGACATTATATTTATTATTAAAGGTTTCACCATGGTAAATGTTTGGTGTCAAAGAAAACACAATTGAGATTAAATTAGAAAAATAACATGTTAAAAACATAAGGGGTTGTGGCTGGTGGAGCTGGTGGCCCATGTACCGGGCCCATGTCATGGGTTCGAGTCCGACCTGTTGCTGTGGTTCGTTCCCTGTCTCTCTCTCTCACCCTGCCTGTCTATCTGCTATCATATTATCATTTATCATATTAATAAGGACGACAGAATATCAGCGTTCAGTCCCGTTACCTGAACTCTGTGTTAGATGTGTTTATCAGATGTTTGTGTGTTTTTAAAGATGTTTGTTAAACCACCTAAAGGTTCTCCTGATATTAGCACTGATGCTACGTGGCTACATTTCATGTGTTTGCTAAAAAGATAAATCTGAGTCCTGTTAGGAAAAATGTAAATCTTCCACTTAGAAACCTCGTAATAAATAAATAAAATAGCCTAAGATTGAACTTTTACACTTTTAAAATAATTAAAGTGTGTCGTTACTATGACAGTTTTTCACTGTAAAAAAAACCTTTTTTGTAACGATGACAGTAAAAGACTGTAAACTGTAAAAAGGTTAAAGTGTCTGTAACAGTAAAACACTGATATCGGAGGCAAAACCTTTATTTATACGACATAATAAGTAAAGTCGTTTTCTATGTTATAGACTGTAAACTGCACAGAACAATAAATTATTAGTTTTTAAATATCACTGTAGATAAAGTGCTGAAAAAAGACGAAGTTTAACTTTGAAAACAATCAAATGGCACCGATTTAATTAAATTATCTGATCATAACATATTTTCTGATTAAGTTAATTAGTAAACTAAATATCTTTGGACTGTTGGTTGAGTCAAGGTCACATAAGACTTGTTAAACAAAGTCTTAGTTTCCAGAGCTTTCGACCACATTTACTGGGCTTTCTCAGTCGAAGAACACTGAGACTTAAAGCTCCGGAACAAGTGGACCTTAAGGAGAAAATGTAAGTACAGAAGGTTTTAAAGCAACGCGGGGTAAGTTAGTTAGGTCTATCAATACATTTATTACAGTAAGTCGACAGAAAATGTAACTGTAACTGATAATCAATTTATTGTCCTTTAATATGTTTAATATGAAGCTAAAATATTCTTTGATTTCAGCTCCTCAAATCTGAGTATTTGCTGCATTTCAATGAGAGTGAAGTGAATATTTTAGACTTCAAATATGTTTCAGAATATTAATAATATTAAAATAAATATAATAAAGATTAAATATTCCTCAACTACCAGCTGTTAGTTCTTCCTGTAAATATTATTGTCCGACTGTGTTATCCTGAGTGTTTATAGTGAGTCAGTATCAGTCACTGACCCTGCCTGTTGTGTTCAAGGACATCTGGAAAACAAACAACCCTGTATCTGATTACAGCATACTTAATAAGGCAGGTGTATATCAGTCATTACATCGATGCAGAAGGGGCAGACGTGTCACATCGCGCCCCGCCACCGCCGCTCGCTCCCTGGAGCTTCATTTCTGAGGAATGTGTGCATACGTGAGGCTCCACACAGCAGCAGCTGGCTTCCTGCTGCCAGACGAGAGAAGCTGTGCCAGCTCTGCCACAGGGCCGGGCGTTAATCAGCGCGGTGACACCCCGCCGACTCAATCAATCAGGATCTGCTGTAAACTGCTTCCAGTGTAAACAGCGAGTTTCCCTCTGTTCGGAAGCAGCAGAGGTCACATAGAGCCGCAGGGGGCAACGTTATTTCAGTAAGTTCAGCTGGTTTCTGTTCCATGAGGTCGCCAGTTCACTGACTTCATGGTTCAACTCAGTTAAAGCTGCACCAGTCAATGTTTTTACATTAATAATGGGAAAAATGTATTGGTGTATTGTGTAAGTGCTCACAGAGACAAACATACAGAGAATTATAGATTTTATCTGTGTGAACGGGTTAAAATTTATTATTCTAAGAGTTTACTTTTTTTAATGTGTGAACACACATTAAAAAAAGAATCCAAAACTTATTAAAAAAATATTCCTGAGGGAAAAATACATTTTGTTATCTGTGAAAATCGGTTTAAAAAAAAAAAACATCTAAAAAAATTCCCTCAGAGACAAACCTGCTAATTAGCACACTGCAGTTTCCTTTAGCTCTACTGAGGTTTTATTATACATTATATATGTATTTTTTAAATGATCCTTTAAGGTTTTAATAAGCTCTGAAAAGTTCTTTCCGAGGGGAAGAAGTTGCGTTTCCCAAGATAAACAAAGCGAAAAGTTGACAGGTGTGCACATGAAGCTGCTCCAAAGTCAACAATACAAACTAGAGCCGACCAAAATGTTGATTTAACAGACAGAAAAAAAGGAACTGAACCTCCAGGACGTCACGATGTTTCAGTCGCAACCATTAAAGCAAATTCAACCAATAACCAGGAATTCTGCACGACTTGGCTATTGTGTCCAACCACTGCAACTTATAAGCTAAATCTGACCAATCCCAGCAGCCCCCCATACCTCACCAAACTATTTCATTAATTATTCTATTTTACTCTTATTTGTTGTTTTTTTCCTCTTTTTTCTCCCACAATTTCATGGAAAAAGACACAAAAAACATCACAATATTTAGTATAAAAAAGCTACCGTGCAGTCAGACACTTTAGGATCTGACTAATTTTTAGCATTAGTAAATATGTCTTATCTGTTGTGCCTGTGCACTTTATCTGTTTCACCGTGGGAGAGTGACAAACGTCCTCTTGATTCCTTTGTATGTCTGGTGCATGTGAAGTAATTGACATTAAAGCTGACTTTGATGAATCGAGTCCTCTAACATCTTTATAAGGTTCATAAACATCACTGAAGTGTAACTCCACCCTTCACTCTGCAAAGGACAGTGAGTGTGAACATCAGCCAGTAAAGTTAACTGTGATTTATAAGAGAAAGGTTTGAAACTACTGCTCCTCTGGCTGCACGTATAGATGCTGTGTGTGTTTGCGGCTGTTCAAACTCCAGTCAGCAGCTTTGTGGTGCGTACGTGAGAAGAGCTTCATCGTCTGGGTTAACCAGTAACCAGACCTCAGTTTCCTTTCTGATCCGCTGCCAGGGAGAAGCAGAGAACGACTCCTTGGCAGCGCCTGTGTGTACGTGTTGTAATCTGAGAGAAATGTCTGAGGTTTACTTTAGACATTTATTGAACTTGAAGTTGCAGCATTCCACATGTTTCTGTTGAGAGGAGCTGCAGATAATCAGTGGAGATCAATTTGTGATCATTTCTACACGCCCGTGAAGTTTACCGGTAGTTTATTTCTCGGATGAATTAACAGCAGCCTCTGGAGCAGCACGAGGACGTGATACGCTCCTGTTGGCTTCATTCAGGTTCAGGGTGAGGTCAACACAACACCAACACCTGACAACAGCTGCAGAGGAGCGGCACAGCAATGTCTCACAGCCAGAGGAAGGAACAGTACAAACACAGCTTACGGCGTCTTTACAGGTTATATTACAGGTTATTTATTTATTTATTTATTTATCTTTACTTCCTACATACAAATAAATATTTCTCCTAATATGCACTTTATATGATTCATGTGCAACACTCTGGTTTATTCTGTAACTAATACTGTATTTAAGGATTCAGCTCTCACTATTATTATTACTATTTATTCATTACACTTCTGTCATATAATATGTCACATACCATTATATACATATATATATATATTTTTTTTTTTTATAAATATATTGTCTTATATTGTATGATGTATATATATAATGCACAGACTTCAGACTCTATTTTATGTTTTATATATTGTTGTTAGATATTATAATTAAGTACATGTACATCGTTCTTCTTCTTATTTCTATTTCTTTCATGTCTTGTGAACACCTTGAGCAAAAGTAATGAAACAAATTTCCCCCGGGGGATCAATAAAGTATTTCTGATTTCTGATACAGTTTTACACAAATATCTGTACTTCCTCTTGTTTACATTTCCAAAACAGGCTCATGATTTCTGTTTTGATGCACTTGAGTGTAATGAACCTTTTCATGTGAGTGAAATACAATATTGAACATTTTCAGGACAAATAGATTATTTCCATAGATTTCTAGGTGTAGGCAGCATTATTAATTATTATAATGCTGTTTTGTCCCAATGTTTTTTGGGATATTGCACTTTATTATTATTATTATTTATTTTTAAATTGTGCTACATTTCATTCAATTCTAACAGCAAAGCACAAAAAGTATATCCTGATATTGTTTTATTTTTTAATACTTATATTAATGCTGTATTTTATCATTTTGTGTATTTTGTCTGCTTTACATTTTTTAATAACGGTACCACGTTGTTGTTGTTGTTCGGGAGCCAATAGGAGAGCGGCTGGAGGGGGTCCGACCAATAGAAACGCAGAAAGGAGAGAGAACTAGCCAATAGGAACACGCTAAGCAGAGAGGGCGGGAAATATGAGCGTAACAACCGTTGCAGGCAGTGAGTTGAGTTTTATATATTGAAATAAAACGCGTTTTCTTTTGTTTTTGTTCGGAATAAAACTAAACTATGACAGTCAACAAAGAGGAAGAAGGAGGAGGAGGAGGAGAAAGAGATCCTCCTGCTCGTTAGCTACGATAGATTCAGCCCCGTTTCACTCGTCAATAAAAGTTAAAGTCAACACGAACAAATGTAATAAATTAAACTACTAACCGGTCTGAAGACAGGAGGAGTATCTCAGCGACATTTCAGCACAATCCACGTCAATATCAGGTGAGTATGGAGGAAGGAAAACACGACTTTCTCCGACGGAGTCCACAGAAATTACATTAAAAACATCCTGTGTAAAATCCAATATGGCGCCGGACCTTCTTCTTCTGCTCAGCCGCGGGTCGCTCAGTGCTGCCACCGGCGGCCATGTTGGATATGGAACCCTTGATGGTTTAAGACCCGTATGAGTTAAAGTTTAACAACTATTTTACGTCCATACTGCCAAAAAAATACATATTTTATTATTATTTATTTTATCATTATTAGAATGATCAGTTTTGGTTTGGTTTTGTAGTTACAGGACGATCAATACTTTTTTTCCCCCCAAGAAGCGAGACTGAAAAAAAGATTACTTTATATAAATGTTAAATTCATGAATCCAAATAATTCTTAAGACCTATGAAAATCATAAAGGCCATTTTAAAGCCTAAAATTTTGATTATTGGATTTTATACTTTTTTATTTTAATTGTTTTCATGCACTTTATTGCTTCCGTAACATGTCGACCTTCAAGACTACTGGGAATAAAATACCCAAAATACACATTTAGGTGTTTATTTTACTTAGTAGGTGTACTATTTAACTTTTACTTTACTTACTACTCATTTGTGTATTTAAACATACAATTTCAGAAAACTTTTAATACAAAAACTAATTGTATTAATGTAAGAAATCAACTGGGGAAGTTTCATGCTGATATTTATAAAAAAATAAATCAGACACCAAACCTTCCAGTTTTTCTCCTCTCTATATTCTGAAGGTTTGTACACAGAGGTTTGTTCATATGTCATTTATAGTCTGCTTTATTTCACATTTTATTACTTAAAAACATGATGAAAATCGATCCACAACTGCCTCTGTATAAATATGTGACTCTAATACTTTGCCCAATGTTGAGATGTCTGCTCTGGAAATGTGTTCAAAATAGCACATTTTAATTAGATAGTGCCCAATTTATATATTTAAACATTGAAACAATTTCAAATTGTATTACAAAAAATAATTGTCTTATTATCAGTAATCAACTGGGGAAGTTAGTGTTATCTATATTGAATTTTATAATACATATCTGTACTCTATACTCCACTTCAGTAGCACTTATACACCAAAGCTTCCAGTCTTATTCCTCTATGATTTATATCACATTTTATCCCCAAAAACATGTTGAATTGTTTTGTGTTTTTATGCCTGTTAACATTGTTTTCTGATGTAGGAGTAATATAAAGAGATATCCTTAAAAACCTCTGTCTTTAATATGTCAACCGGAGTTTATGAACCTACCTTTATTAATGATTCCTCCTCTGGTGATGTATGTAAAATAGCACATTTTACATTTGTTTATTTAAACATATGCTTTACATGTATTACATGTCAGTAATCATCTGGGAAAGTTTAGTGTGTTTATTTCCTGTGTCTGGGAATAAAATATATATATTCAATAACATTTTAACTAAATGGATAAAAAGTCAACTTAAGTGGCTGTTTGGGTTATTTTAATAAATCATTGAGACAGCAGTGACACAGCTTTAATGTGAGAGTGTTTCAGAGTGGAGAGAAACATGGAAACACTCCCATCTAGTGTCCAATAACGGCAACTACAGGGAGGGAAATCATTTCTACACGCCGCTTTAACCAGCGTACATTAGAGAGTTTTCACTGTCAGTTCGATTGGAAATGAAAATTAATTTATACATTACAAAACATTAACTTATTGGATGTTTACCAGAACAGCCCACAATGAAACTACAGCAGTTTGAACCTTTAAATAGCACAATGTCAGTAGGATTTCCTCATTTAGGGGATTAATGCTGATACACTCACTGATTAAATTAAAATAAAAAGATGAACCAGAGTAACATCAGGTTTAAACTGTTTTAGCTTCATGAAACATCCCTTTAATAATGATTTCAGTTATAGAACAGTATTTACCATCAGTAGCTCACAAAAAAAACACAAATATTTGTTTCTATACGCCGACGGATCCGACTACAAAACTTTACAAATATGTATACAAGATTATATACACAGTACTGAGAAATATACATCGTTTGGCAGGGAAAAAAATAATGACAATTTTCTAAAAGGGAAACCAGTAGCAGTAGTATCATAAAATATATGATTACATAAAAATGGAACTTCTTAAACATTTCTGTGCAAAGAGGAAACTGTCGACTGCTGTGCGGTTTGAAACTAAACGTGGGACTTTAAAAGGACAGTCGGGTCATTTTCAACCATCGTTATCCGTCACAGCGGCGAGTAACCCCAGGACGCTGCAGGTGAACAGGAAGCTGCAGACACCGGCGCACAGGTAACAGGAGGAATGCTGAATGACGTCCAACGGTCATCAGATACTCTACAAGCCGAGCTGGAGCCAGGGGTCGGGGTCAGGGGTCACACGAGGAAGCACTTGCTCACAGACGGTCGTATTATTTACTGATCGACCTCGTATTGATACATTTAAGTTTTTATAAAGGTTGAAACTGATTTCAATCGAACATTTTAAGTAACAAACTCAATTTATTCCTTTAAAAAGATCCTTGAAGCAGCTTTTATTAGTGGTTTTAACTGACACTAACTCAGTTTTATAAGTGGCAGAAACATTCCTGATGTATTACTTTTTACTAGATATTTACAGTACAAATACATTTAAGTCAGTGTCACTCTGACTACTGATATCACAGGTGATAAATAAAAGGCATTAAAATGTAAAGTATGTGTTTGTATTGAACAGCCAGATGCGATTGATGAGTCGGTTACAGCCCTATAATGACGTACACGTTCATTCCTCAGGCTCCGTTTCATCTTTATACTGAACTTCCAGACCAAACACATCCTCATCAGGTCATAAAGACTCTGAAGTTTCCTCCTTTTTCAGCTCAAACTTGGAGAACACCGGTGGGTCTCTTGCAGTCTCCAGGAATGTTCTGAACTTTGGGTATCGGCCGATATCGAGTACCGGTCCGATACGTGTGCGTTAGAGAACTGAGATTATCTATATATATATTAATATTTAACAATCGTATGCTGCTGCGCCCGTATGATTGCTTAGAGTGGTATCGGATGCCATCAGAGCTCGATCTCTACCCAGGAGAACAGAATCCACAGAGGCTTTAAAAGTGTTTCAGAATGATGGCGAAGGTTGAAAATGGCTCAAGTTGTTCCTTCAAAGCAGCTGCTGCCCACCGGGCCTCACTCGGGGACTGGGTCCCGTTCTAATAATCTCATAAAATGCAGTAATGGGACGAAGTATTTCATCCATCAGCCGCTGCGTTTTTTCCTTCATCCTTCATTAGACTCTTAAGACAACATGGTTTAATGTCCCAGTGGGATAAAAATAAGACTCCAATCACTCAACAACCACACATCCGTATAATTTACACATTTTTAAAACAGTAAGGTGTGCTTGATTTAAAGGAGATAAAAAAAAACAAAACAGGTGAAACGAAGGATCAAGCACACCCTCTCGTGAGGCCGTGCCTCCGATCCCGACATTGTTCACAGTCCAAAATATTTCAGAGGAGGAGAAACAGTCCCGGGGAATGACATCGCCCGCCACGACGTTCTTTGACCTTTGATACTGAATCAGCTTTGGAGAGAAGAGGAGGAGGAAGTTCTGCCTCAACGTGGTTGGAAACGATCCCCACCTCCAGCCCAGGAGACAGACAGACAGAGAGAGAGACAGACAGACAGACAGACAGACAGACAGACGGACGGGTGGGTGAGTGATAGATGGACGGACAGGAAGTCGGAGACAGACGGGACCTGTGGGGTGGATGGGCGGAGTCATCGTGTCATTGGACGACCTCGAAGTAGTGCAGGATCGCCATGATGTGCTGCGGCATGAAGACGTAGCCGGTGTAGACGGCCATGCCGGCCACGGAGATCAGCAGAGAGTCTGAGGAGGAGACGTTAAGGAGGAACTGCTGAAGGAGCAGAGATTCACTCACTCTCATAGCTGCTGCTGTAAACATGTTATTTAACCCTTTAAGGTCACATCCTGTCTGACAAAACATTCACAAAAACTCAATTTCTTTGTATCTTTTATATCAAAATCTTTTGTCTTTCCTTAAAACAAACACTCACATCGTCAATCTTCTTTTAGCGACAGACACTATTATAACCTGTAATCAATGATTCATCTGAAGACTGCGCTTTGAATCCTCATGAAGCACTGACTGACTGACTGACTGACGACTGACTGACTGACTGACTGACTGACTGACTGACTCTGCATTGTTATGTTACCCTCTGTAAGAGCTGGTTCCAATGAAAACTGCTGCCCTGAGCATTACAGTGGGTGACCGGGACATTCAGTGTTTATAATACGCACTCGGATGAGCAGGTTACTCAGAACTTGTGTTAACGTCCACATGCACACGTCCACCACACACACACACACACACACACACACACACACACACAGTCCACTGGTCCTTCAACGAACAACGAAGACGATAAGATGAAGATAGAAACTGTTTGCAGAATGAGGTTAATAATGGAGATATTTACAGAAACATTGTCTTCTAGTACTTTAACGTTGAAGTGGACCTTCTGTGTGACGACAGTAGCAGCTGTGGCCCCAACCCACTCTGAGTTTGAGACCCCTGGTACAGACACTTGTATAGGGACCCCTGAGACTACAGCTTATCAAATATGGGTCCACAGCCTGATGCGCATCAGTTGAGAGGCTTTGACTCAGACAATAACCTGAAAAGCTGATAATGAAATTAGGATGTCAGGATATCTTAAACCAACAAATGATCCAACAAATGCTTTAAAAACCTAATATTACATATTGTTTTATATTATTTTTTATAAGAACCAGTGGGTGTATACCGACTATGACCTCCTGTCTATATATTGCAGTGGTTAAAATAACATTTATAGAATAATTAACTCAACTTTCTTTAATGAAAATAACCTATGTTAATACGGGCCGGTGCCTCACTGAAGAGGTCGCTTTTTAAAGGTTAACTCCAACAAATATTTGGTTTCATAAAAACATGCTATGAATTGTAAAACAAGCACCTCGCTCCTGAACGCATCACTGAAGTGTCAATAACGACTGTAGCACTCACGCTCTAGGGTCATATCTCTAACACACCTTTTATCCATCAACACACTCAAGTTCTCCAACTGTCAGCTCACATATCACAAAAACCTGACAACTGATCTGCGTGAGGACACTGTAGCCTGATTCATGTCAAGTGGAAATCAAGTTTCTTTGCTTTTATGAAGCTTGTAATCGAGTAACCCCCCCCTCCCCTCTGAGCTGAGGGAATTAACATTTGATGGGAGGAGCACTCAGGCTGATAACTGAACAACAATAACACAACCTGTGTGACTCAAACACACCTTACCCTCAGGGAAGAAGAGACACACGCTGAGGGTGAAACCAACTGTAGGAAGACGACACATCATGTACACAATGTGATAGTGACAGATCAAAGTACAGCCATAACACCATCAACAACCACGCACTTTAATTATTAACCGCACATCTCTGCGGGTTAAAGTGCCACTGGAATTACAGCTTCATCTCAAATACGAATACAACTGGAAGCATATGCTGGAACTAGGATCATGTTGCATGTGTGAGTCACCAGACTGTGGATGGGAAGCAGCCAGGACGCGCCCGCCCTCTTGTATATGCCACCACACGCCAAACTCCGTTGACAATTCTGCCAATTTAAGGCGTTTTTACTCAGAGGCAAAGGTTACGAGAGTGCTGGAGCAACGTTTTAACCTCACTCTTATTCTTTAGGGAAGAGTCTTCAAATCGGCACTTAAACATTGATTAATTATTACAAATAAGATTGATTTTCTCTTCTGCAAAACGCGTCAGCGACCAGCTAAAAGTTTAGAGTCAATCACTCAAAACTCTCTTAAAATCGTTATATATTTAGCGATCAACTGGTTATACCTAGCTTATAGAACAAAATATAAGACTTCTTCTACAGCAGTGTGTGTGGTTTATTAATTCGGCTTTCATTCAAAACTACAAACCTTATTCAGTTTGACTAGAAACCCAATTTCTCTTTAAGCATGTTAGCGAGTGGCGAACAGTCCTGATTCATTTCAATCTCCACAAACATTATAACCGACCGTAACATTGTCATTGTATGAGAGCCGAATTCACCACGGAGCCATACACATTCGCAAAATACCTTCACCGATGTCCACAACCCAACTTAAACGCGTTTATCAAGTAGAAGAGTTACCGTTGTGTCTCCGGGACAGAGCTCTGGTAGCTACAGTTAGCACGTTAGCTCGTTCCGCCGGAAGTAATTTGACCCAGATAAAGGATACTGAACACCGTCCGCTCCCAGGGCTCCAGCATGTACAGCGCCGTCACCAGAAGGTACTGGTAGTAGAACCAGGAGAGCTGCTTCCAGCAGTCACCCAGAGCCATGGTTTCCAACTTTAAAACACAAACTTCTTCCTCTTCCTCTTCACTCGCTGCTTTCCTATTTTATTCTGTCTTTCTGCGTGATGGCGTAGAGGGCCGGCGTATGACGTCTACTCATGAGGTGCTCATTTTCAGCCAATCAGGATGAGAGTTCGAGCTGTGACGCAGCCCAGGGAGTTCCAACATCCTGATTTCAAAATAATGTCACTTGATAAAAAATAAATAAAAATAAAAGATTTTTTTTAAAAAGTGTTCTCGTGAATTAAAATGTGGCCTAAATTTCTTGGATTTTTGTACATTAAATAATAAATTTAAAATAAATGATCGACCTCAATTTGGAATATTATACAAAAACATCTCTAAGTTTAGTTATTTCCTGTTTAGTTTACAATTGTTTAATGTATTTTTTAAATAACTGGAAATATCATTAAAATTACAAAAAAGATGGTGAATTTACATGTCTAATTTTAAATTAAGAAGAAATTAAGAAAAGAAAAATACAACAAATCGATATTGATGATTTAAGCTGCTCCTCAAATCTGAATTAAAAGTGGTTTTATTCCCTTTAAATCCATTACAAAGCCAATATTTTATGAATAATTGCCATAAACCATTGCAAATTAGAACAGTATAATATAAATTTGCTCTGGTGAAGAGTACAAACGCTCTATTTCCTCCTGTTGGTTAATAAAATATGTGTTTGTTCACACATTCAGTGAACCAAACAAAAACTACAAGAAGCTCTAAAACATTTCAGTCACCTGACATCAGATTGGTCCTCTGATGTCAGGTGGATTCAGCTTGTCACTGTACCCACAATGCATCTCATAGCTACACCGAAACATGTTAACTTCATGTTCTCGCAGCTCTAAGTGAATCTGAATCAGAACGTCGGCAGATCATTCACAAACATCATCCATCAACCGAAAGCACTGACAAGTTTATTTGATTCAGCATCCTGATCACAACTCTTTCAAAATAAAACAAATGTTAGCAACATTTTACTTCAACCCCTTCCTTAGCATTTATGAGCATTATAATGTAGTTGTAAGCAGATAAAAGGACATTTTACAGTATTTACTGAAGAGAGAAGAAGAGTACACTGATACACCTTCACAGATGAAGACATATCTGATATTGTGACGTCTGTTTTCCTATATTGTCATAAAGCATGTTTCTGCAGCAGCCTCCACTTACAGGAGGAATACATTAATAAACACTGCTCTCTACAGCGTGTTAAAAAGCATTTATTCACTGTTTATATGCAGATTATGACTCCTAAACTTTGGGTTAAAGGAAAATGTTGCCAAGAATAAACTAAACTAAAATGAGTATGTGATGTATTTATGTAAAAAAACAAAAAGAAAAAGGCTTCAGAATATCACAACAATCCTCTGATATTAACATCAGTATCAGTCCAGTACAAGCTCCGATGACCTCCGCAGCAGCATCGAGCTGTATTCGGGGTTAAATTCCAGTTTTTGTTCGACATTTAAACAGACAGACGACGTCCCACTGCTACCCAGAATCCCTTGCTCCTCATCAGGGAGGTGAAATGATTGATATAAACACTCAGAGCCACCACGTTGGGATTCTTCAGCCGGGACGCTTCTCTTCTCCTCCCAGTCTCTGCCTGCCTGCCTGTCTGCCTGTCTGCCTTCTGTCTGTCTCTCTGTCTGTCTGTCTGTCTGCCTGTCTGTCTGTCTGTCTGTCTCAGCAGTGGCTGGACAGGATGTTGAAGAAGTGGTAGACCTCGTCCTTATCGAACACCGCCACCTCAGTGGAGCACTCGGTGCACTGGACCGGGTGGTAGACCTCGTCGGCGTCCATCCCCGCCGGCGCCGGTTCGGGAGCCTCGACCGGCGGCGTCTCCGTTTTCTGTCCCCTCCTCCTCTTCCTGCTGCTCCTCTTCCTCTCCTGCTGGGTTTTGTAGCGCAGCACCTCGTCTCTCTTCACCACGCAGTTCATGACGAACATGGCTCGGTACTGCGTCCGGTACTTGTCGTGCCTGAGCGGAGACAACAAACGACAAACGGTCAGTTTCTGCTGGAGCCGGAGCAAACGAGCTCTCGGTGCTGTGAAGTCTCACCTCTGACAGTCCAGGCAGAGCGTGGTCATGCAGGCGGGACAGTTGAGGATGGCGTCGCTGCTCGGTAAACCCTGAGACTGCCGGTTCTGTGACTGAGAGGCCGCAGCCGCTCGTTTCCTGCTGTACCTGCACAGGACGGACGAGACGCTGAGAAGATGTCGTTCCATCGGACCCGAACAAACAGACGTGTATTGATAATGTCTTACTGTCTCCTCTTGGCGTCCACCCAGGCCTGGTCCCTGTCGTCCTCGTCGGGGTCGTACAGCAGCTCGTCGTTGGTCAGGACGGTCCGCTGTTTGCGCCTGCGGCCCGCGGAGCTGCCTGCGGAGGAAGCAGCAGGTTGGTAATTCACTGTGATCAATGCGTCTCCGTTCTCCGTTCTCTGAAACACTCACACTTACTCGCTGTGTCCTCGTCCTCCGAGTCAGAGTCAAAGTACACCTCGTCGTACGTCTCAGGGTTCGGAGGTCCAGGAACAACGCCGCCCTCCTCCTCCTCCTCCTCCTCCCCTCCTCCGCTCCCCGAGGTTGCTGCTGGAGAACAAACACACAAACATCCTGACTTTAATGACGTTTAAAACAAACCTGTGTGGCCCTCTGTGGCCCTCTGTGGCCCTCTGTGGCCCTTTGTGGCCCCTCTGAGGCCCTTTGAGGCCCTCTGTCGGCCCTCTGTCGGCCCTCTGTGGCCCTTTGTGGCCCCTCTGTGGCCCTTTGAGGCCCTTTGTGGCCCTCTGTGGCCCTTTGAGGCCCTTTGAGGCCCTTGTAGCTACCTGCTGTCGGCCCCCAGGTTCCCTCCATGGTCCTGATGGTGGTGCTGAGCTCCGCCTCCATCTCCTTCTCAAACTCATCCCCGCTGGAGGACTCGCTCTCCCCCGTCAGGTACTCTCGGATCAGCTTCTTCTTCTGCTCGGGAGTCCCGTTGAGCAGCACCTCCAGCTCGTCCTCCGAGCTGCAACAGGAGTGGGTTTATTTATTTAAAACTGGGTTTTATTCTTTAATATTTATAGTTTACGTTAAACTCAACTTCTGCTGTTGGCTGACTAACACAAGGTGAGCTGTAGAACTGGCAGAAGCTCTCGGTTTTAAACTTTAAACACATTTAAACTCGCTGTGGAAACTGTTTGTTTACATGTTAGCCTCGTGGTGCTAAGCTAACAGTAGAGACGCACCTGCTCTCTGCTCGCTCCTCGTCACTCGGCTCCTCGAGCTCATACGAGTCATAATCCCGCGCTTTGTTCGGTTCGTTCATTTTACCGGTTTCACAAAGTCAACAACAACAACAACAACAACAACAACAACGAGTTAGCAACGAGCTAGCAACGAGCTACCGGCGACCGCTTCCGCCTCTTCTTCTTCTTCTTCCTGAGTTTGTGGAAACGGAAGTGGACAAACATCGAACTATCGCCACCTGCGGCTGGGAGGGCGGCACGAGCCAATATTATATTATTATTATTATTATTATTATTATTATTATTATTATTATACATATATTATATTATATATTATTATATATTATTATTATTATCATCATTATTATTATTATTATACATATATTATATTATATATTATTTATTATTATTATTATTATTATTATTATACATATATTATATTATATATTATTATTATTATTATTACTATTATCATCATCATCATCATTATTATTATTATTATTATTATTATTATTATTATTATTATAATACATATATTATATTATATATTATTATAATATTATGTATTATAATACATATATTATATTTTATATTATTATTATTATTATTATACATATATTATATTATATATTATTATTATTATTATTATTATTATTATTATTATTTTATTTTTTTTTATTATTTTTAGTGTTTTATATATTATATTATTATTATTATTATTATTAGTATCATATATATATATTATATATTATTATTATTATTATTATAATACATATATTATACTATATATTATTATTATTATTTCATCATTATCATCATTATTATAATACATATATTATATTATATATTATTATTATATATTATTATTATTATTATCATCATTATTATTATAATACATATATTATATTATATTATTATTATTATCATTATTATTATAATATATATTATATTATATATTATTATTATTATTATCATCATTATTATTATAATACATATATTATATTATATATTATTATTATTATTATTAATATAATATTATTTTATAATACATATATTATATTATATATTTTATTATTATTATTATTATTATTATATCATATTATTATTATAATACATATATTATATTATTATTTTTTATATATTATTATTATATTTTTTATATTTATTATTATTTTATTATATTTATTATTATAATAATTTATATATTATTATTATTTTATTTTTATTATTATAATACATATATTATATTATAATAAAGTATGATAATAATATATTATAATAATATATTCATAATAATAATATGTTATAATAATATATTCATAAAATCGGGTGTAAAAAAAATAAATAAATAAATAACCCAACATAAGTTATTTAGTACATTTATGAATGCCTCAAAATGTCTCAAGCTGTCTTTACATAAAGAAATGTGTGATATTTTTGTAAAGCTTGGCTCAATCAAACTATTGATCACATGAATTACACTAAATTCACTGTTACGTCACTATTACGCACATTAAACAACATTTTATTGTTCACACTGTCAGAGAACATTACTGGAGTCATTTAAAGAAAAGTTCCTCACTTAAAATGAAAATAAACATAAGTTTCATAACAATAATGTATATGTTTAATTTGGTACATCATACATTTAAATATTATACCCTTCATTTCTCTTTCTTTCTCTTGTTTATTAGGGTCACCTTCCTGTTTGATGCTGACAGGTGACGAGGTGAACTTCGTCCTGTGCTCCTGAGACGTGTTAATAAATGAACTAAGCTGTTAATACGACTCCCACCGGTTCCACCTGCTGACCTGTGAGACTGCTGCTGTCACAGCAAACCTCCACCAGGTGGCGCCAACAGACCAGAGATCTCAGAGGTTCAAAGGTCAGAGCAGCTCAGGGTTCATTCACAGGCCTGAAACACTCTCAGTGTCTGTAGAGTTTACAGTGAAACGCTGTAGAATCTCAGGACAAAACCTTTATTATAAATATATATATATATATAATCACAGACACATTTTAGGATTTAAAAGAGCTTCCCGTTGCACAAACACGAGCGGACACAATAAAGTTTTGTTTAAAAAGGATAAATAATTAGAATTTATTTATTCTCCTCATTATGTTTGACATGTAAAATGATTTCTCTTATTTCTATTATGAACTCTCTGTTCTCCCCGAGCCTCCTCAGAACAGCCTGCTCTGTCTGTTCCTGTAGAGGTTTCTGTCGCACCATCCAATGAAGTTCTGGATCAGGTGTCTGTAGTCCTCCTCCCTATCGTCTGTGATACAGCCGACAGTGGACGAGTCCTGGAGGACAACGTCTGTAACGATCCCGAGTTGAAGCAGAAGTCTGAGGAGTGGAGGAGGAACAGGAGGTCTGTCAGTGCTGCAGTCTGTGATCGAGAGATGTGGATCGTATTAACCGTATTAATATAAATATAAATAATATGTATTTTATATATATATAAATACTTTATCACTGACTGTGTTAACTTCACTGTACAGTTTGAATATGAAATATCAATAAAATGTGTCAATGAGTCCGTTTAATAAATGATAGAAAAGGTTGGGAACCACTGCACACAGTAATACTGTAAATATAAATAAAAATATAAATAAAATAAAATAATAATATAACTGTATATATTTTATTTTAAATTCTATTAATTTAATGATATTTTTCTATGTCCGTTCATTTTCTTTGTGTTGTATAATAATAATAATAAATCCTTGCTCATGATTAAAACTTACTGATCTGTTCTCTGCATCCCAACCGGAAACCCGATATATATGTATATATATATCAATATATTGATCAAACCACACGTTGTCCGTGCAATTGGAGGAGACAGAGAGTTGATATTGTTTCATAAATCTACTCAAGATACTAATTAATTCAACTCTAATGTATTCTGTTATTTATTGGACATATTGATTTTTGGTCCTGTTTGGCTTCCTGGGTTTCTGTGTAATTTACAGTCTGTAATATAAAATAAAACAACTTTATTCTGTATATATTCCTTTAAAATGTCGTATAGATAAAGTGTTTTCCATCAGATATCACAGAGTTTTACTGTTACAGAAACTTTGACCTATTTACAGTCTTTTACTGTCGAACAAGTATTTTACTTTTTTTAGGATTTTTATGTAGAAATTTTACTTTTTTTGTAGCAGAAATAACATCAGACACACATTATGGTTCTAATCACAGTGAGTGTTTGGTTTGTCTGCTCTGGGCTACTGTAGAAACATGGTGGTTAAACATGGCGGACTTTAAGGTTTTTCAGACACTGAAACAAATCTGGTTGCATTAGAAGACCTTCCTGTTCTCACGTCTTTGTGAAGGTTTCTCCTTTATGTCAGATACAGAACAATATGATTTCTGAATACAACAGATGAAGGATAAAGCCTCCTGTCATTATCATAATTAGTCCTGTAAAAACAGGCCTTTATTTCTGACTACCTGGTGAGTTTCTCTTTGTGTTATTTGGTATTAGAGGTGGCAGCTATAGACATTCACTGCCACACTATCATACATTTGTGTTATTATTATTATTAAGTGACAACGTCCTGACCTCCAGCACCGACTAACACGCAGCTGCTTCCCCGAGCGTTACAGTGGGAGGTATAAAGGACCGGAGGGTGAGGAGGGTGAGGAAGGTGAGGATCTGTGTCTGTTTGAGACAACAGGAAGAGGTTTGATAGAACGTGTCCAGATGTTGTTCACACCTGATCTCCAACAGACTGTCAGACAATGACAGTAAAAGACTGTAAACTCTAAACAGGTTAAAGTTTCTGTAACAGTAAAACTCTGTGATATCTGATGGCAAAAACCTTTATTTATATGACATTTTAAAGGAATTTATACAGAATAAAGTTGTTTTATTTTATATCACAGACTGTAAAAACCACAGTCAGAGCATCATATGGTATTTACATATGGTTAAACTATCAGCTGTGGTTGCCAGAACTTCACTATAATAAATACAGCAGAATTTATTCTACTATTACAGTAAAAGGATATTAATACAGACGAGTTTTAATCCATAATTTACTGTATAAGAACAGGTTTTTACCATTAAAAGAAGCAGTTGTTCTATATGAGAATACCATATGATGCTCTGACTGTGCTATAGCAGAGGAGTTATAACAGAAAGACACAGACAGTGATTAAAACCCTCACACATATGAACCCATGATCCTGTGAATGACGGTCCGATTACTGACATTACAGACCAACTGTTTAATGTCTATCAACTGTGTAGACTGATTCAAATACAAACACTTAATTGTACATTGATGTCGTAAAATAAAGTGTTTGTATTTTAAAGTGTTTCCTGTTACTGTTAATGAATGTGGATGACATTAAGTGTGAGACTATAAATATCTACTGTGACAACGTCTACATTGATTGGTTACAACGCCGTCACCTGCTTATATACACCGTCGCCGGGTGAAACAGAGGTGTGTGCATGCAATAGCCTCTTGGAAAGGTGTATAAGATTTCATTATGCTGAGGTCAAAGAGTCATGTAGGTTCGTAGAAGCATCCATTGCAATGTAAACGGGAATATTATGGCCATGTTAGTACACACAACTCTTTTACTGTTTATCTTTTTGTAAAACTGCATTTTCAGTGTTTTTTTCTCCGGTTGAGTTTACACCTGGACGCATGCGGGTGTACCGCTCTGATAGGGTTTTATTAACACAGGGTCTAAAAACTGAGCTTGCTAGGGCGGTTTGTGGCATCAAAGCATCAAAGGAATTATTATTAGGCAATTATTTCATTCCTTTTTCTACTATTACAGTAAAAAGATATTAGTGCTGTTGAGTTTTAGTCCACATTGTACTGTATAAGTTTTTACCATTAAAAGAAACAGTTTTACCATATGATGGTCTGACGGTGGTTTTCTGTTTACAGTCTGTAATATATAAAAACACAACTTTATTCTGTATAAATTCCTTTAAAATGGTGAAATGTCGTATAAATAAAGGTTTTGCCTTTAACCTATTTGAAACTTTAACCTATTTAGAGTTTACAGTCTTTAACTGTCATTGTCTGACAGTTTTTGTCTGTTTTTTTACAGCGTGTGTCTTGTGTGTGTGTGTGTGTGTGTGTGTGTTCTGTGTGTGTGTGTGTGTGTGTGTGTGTGTGTGTGTGTGTGTGTCTGATCTGTGTGTATGTGTGTGTGTGTGTGTGTGTGTGTGTGTGTCTGTGTGTGTGTGTTCTGTGTGTGTGTGTGTGTGTGTGTGTGTGTGTGTGTGTGTGTGTGTGTGTGTGTGTCTGTTCTGTGTGTGTGTGTGTGTGTGTTTGTGTTTGTGTCTGTTGTGTGAGTGTGTGTGTCTGTCTGTTCTGATCTGTGTGTGTGTGTGTGTGTGTGTGTTCTGTGTGTCTGTGTTCTGTGTTTGTGTGTTTATGTCTTCCTGTGTTTTTGTTTGTCTGTCTGTGTTTGTTTTGTGTCTTTTTCCTCCAGTTTGTCCTTTAACGTGTCTCTCTGTTTGTGTGACTGTGTGTCAGAGTGTGTGTGTTTGTGTGTGCGCGGAGCCGCCGGGTGACATTTTCCATTCCAGGTGTGACATCTCGATTCCCCGACACACACTAAACAACTCTCTGATTTTACCTGCCTCCCACCACACACACACACACACACACACACACACACACACACACACACACACCTCAACGACCACCTCTGTCTCAGCTCTGCCGCTCGACAAGCTAATTTAGCCAATTACACACAGGTGTGATGCTAATTTCCCCGAGCTGGCAGCCAGCTCCTGGAGGAGGTAAAAATAACGAAATTACACCCATCTGTCCCCCATGCCGGCAGGCGGGCTCTCCCACTGGGTGTCGGCTCCACCGCCACCACAAAAACACACACAGGAGGAAAAAAAACACACTCTCACTGTTGGCTTTTGATAATGGAGGAGAAGACAATGGACTGTGTGTGTGTGTGTGTGTGTGTGTGTGTGTGTGTGTGTGTGTGTGTGTGTGTGTGTGTGTGTGTGTGTGTGTGGAGGAATCCAGGCCACAGTTGCTTTTTCTCCTCTTTGTTTGAAGCTTTCAATGGATTCTCAGCGATACGCCGCAATTTCCTGCAAGAAAAGAAAGAAAAAACACAGACTTTCGGTGCGGAGGGGTAATTATGTGAAGCTGTTTTCGAAGGGGTTGGATGTGTCGCTGTGTGTGTGTGTGTGTGTGTGTGTGTGTGAGCTCAAACACAAAAACACACAACGTGGTCAGAGCAGACGGATGGATGATTCTCTGCTGCAGACATACGATAATGCAACGTCACTCACGGTGCCTGAGGACTGTTTTTAAAGGATAACTAACTCCAACTGACTAACGGAGAAAACAAGTTTTTAATTCACACTTTCAAAATACGTCCATTAAAAGTTATACCATGGTCTGTGTGAATCCTGCATTGTGATTGGCTGCTGGGTGTCCATTACGTCCTGCTGTAGGACAGCTACTGAGATGTTCCAGTGAAACTGTCTGTTCACCGTTCTAAATGAATGAAATCAACTGAATTCAAACAGAATGTGAATATCTCATAAATCTATCTGACAGCACTGAGTGTCGTCCTTCATCCTCTGAACACCACAGACCGACCCCCCCTCTGAACTCACTGATACTCACATCCCATTGGCTGTTCAACTCGCTACTTCAGGCTGCGGCCGTCAGTGCACATGTCCTATCGTTGGTCCAAATCTGCACATTGATTTGGGGACAATGACCTGGCTGATAGAGCTGTTTTAATTTTACAATATTTACTCGGGGGAAAAAAAAATAATTTAATTAAATTTATTCCAACCAACAACCAAACCTTTTGGAAAAAAAAAAAAAAAAAAGTGGGAAAAAAAAAAAAAAAAAAAAAAAAAAAAAAAAAAAATAAAAAAAATTTTTTTTTTATTACACATAATTCGGTTTAAAAGTTCCTTAAAATAATCCAAACAGTTTCTGCAGTTCACTGTTTGGGTTCATTGTACAGTTTGAATATAATATGAAATATAAATAAAATATGTTCTTTAGTCAGTTTAATAAATGATCCCTTAAGGAAAAAGGTTGGGAATCGCTGCTTTATCTCCTCCCATCAGCCTCGTCCACACGCTGCAAACAAGGAATCTCAAGACAGTAAAACAGCCTTTTTTATCAGAAATTATAATCTTGTGAAGCTTGTCTTACATGAGAAAAATAATCTACAATAACAACAATGGTTGCATAATATCCCAGCAGAGGAAGATTATTGTCCTTCAACTTCTCAGTTTAAGAGAAAGTCGTCTGGTCTCAGTGTTGGAAATGAAGCAGCTGTTTAGTTTTTCATTGTTTTAATAAGAAATGATAAAAAATATGTTTCTGGTTCCTTCATTTAACACAAAGTCACAGATTTTTATTCTGCTGCACAGAAATTAATGTACAAATTCTTAAATTCTGCTCGATATAACTTTACGTTTCAGTCTTTCAGTGGGCAGATTTTTATGCTAAATTTAAGAATTATAACCAAACAACACTGTTTTACCCCACTGGCAGATTTCTCTGCTCAATAAAAGAAGATTTGATGACATTTAAGAACATCTGGCTCGTTTCTAGAAG